CTCAAACACGGCTGCGCTGTCATCACTCTGAGCGATCAGACGAGACGCCTCGTGTGAGACAGCAGCTCGATCGATCTCGTCTCTATTGCTCTGTCAGGACATCGACTCCAGTCGCTCTGCTTTTCTCAGAAGGTAAACACACACATAAATGACGGATCTGCAAATGTGTCGCTTGTGTTTAGCTGTTCTTTCAGAAGTTACATCGTCCTGCCAAGACCATAGAGCTCCAGCATCTATTCATCACTTCACAGTCACTAAAGGAGATATTAAAACTTATTAAAGGCAAAAATAAATTAATATAAATAATGTAATGGAAAAAATAATTATATGTATATTAAATATAAATAAATATTAAAAAAACAATTTATAAATAAATAAAATATAAATAATATTATTGTGATTTAACCTAAATCACACACAAAACGCTTGTTACGCACTCAGGAAAAAATATTAATCCTAATTCATTCCAAATAAATTAAAAAATAAAAATAAATCATGTTCGTGCTAACAGCAGTTACTATAGTATCACTGAGAAACTATTATAGTTTCAATTCATTTTTATTTTTTTATTTTCTGTTTTCATTTTAATTTTAAAGTTTTAGTAACTTTGTTTTGTGTTTTTGTCATTTTTATTAATTTTAAAATATGTCTATATAGTTTTAAAATATTTCGTTTATATAGTTTTTATTTTAGAAATAAAATAAAATAATGTCAAAACCCCTTACCATAGCCGCCTGCGAGCTTCAGTGTAAATATTGCATCAATATCAAATCAATTTGAACGCGATTTAAACTCGGATGATTGTAACCACTCTAAGTTCGTCTGCCTTGGGAAAGCTAGCGTGTCTCCGACATAGTGGACCCCTTCAAAATTATTTTATTTATTTATTTTAATTTGACATGGCGATTTTGTTCTTTTGAACACATGGGATGGAAATAGTGCTTTATTGGCAAATGTTTTATGCAATACTCCAATTTTTCCACACAAGTTTAATTCGAAACTTTGGACAGAAACATAGCTATAAATGATAATACATTTTAGAATTGCCCTCTGATAACTGGATATATTCAAACACCTTTCTCCCCTTAATATTGTACATTTAAATAAATAAATAAATATCAAAGTTTGTAAGAGCTGATTTTGTGGGAACTTAGAAGATGTAGAGAGTGAGAAGCTCAAGTAAATTTCTCACAGTTTGTTGAAACTGAGCAATAAAGATCCGACAGGAGCAACGTCTGATTTACATGCTGATGTAGCAGGAGCCCAGAGTGACCACACACACACACACACACACACACACACACAGGCGTCGTGGAGCCCCAGCTGATTGATCAGAAGTGTCTGATCGCTTTGGGTCCAGGCTGAATTTTTAAGTTCTGGGACGCCAGACCAGTGCTGACCTGCACAATCACTCACTGCTGACCGAGCCATTTCTGCCTCATCTGACCCTTACAGACCACAGAAAACTGACCTGAATAAAGCCAGGTCGCGCAGACACACCTTAGGATTTCAAACCACATACATTTCAACTCCAGCACGGCAGAATTTGATCTCAGTTCAGTTCAGTGACAGTGTTGCTGTCGTAAAATTCATCAATCATGAAACAAATCCAATTTCAGCGGTAAAGCAGCTCTACAGAAGACATCGGAGTCATTATTCAGATCAATTCAGTTCAAGTCAGTGCAGTCAAATCAATTATATTACTGAATACATCAGACGAGCTGATCTGTACTGATCTGGAACCACAGCAGCGGGTCAAACCTGTACATCTCATCAAAACACCACTAAACACTAGTGCACAGAGGGAATTATGGGAATAACAGCTCAAAATGAGATCATTATATGCAAGCACTAAGCATAAGTTCCTGAAAGTGCAATGCTAAAGTACAATGATCTTTATGCCATGACTGCTGTTAAAGGGGTCATATGATGCTGCTAAAAAGAACATTATTTTGTGTATTTGGTGTAATGAAATGTGTTTATGCGGTTTAAAGTAAAAAAAACACATTATTTTCCACATACTGTACATTATTGTCTCTCCTCTATGCCCCGCCTTTTTGAAACGCGTCGATTTTTACAAAACTAATCGGTCTGAAAAGCGAGGTGTGCTCTGATTGGCCAGATATCCAATGCGTTGTGATTGGCCGAATACCTCAAGCATGAGACGGAAATGTTACGCCCCTCACATACTGTTGATGCAGTGTCCGGCCGGAGCGACGAGACATAAACATTAAAACCCATTACAAACGAGGCATTTGTTGCATCCAGTGGGGACATAATTACGGATTATAATGACTTATACTGTCTTTTTACGCGTTGCGTTGCGTTGCATCGCGCCGCGTAAACATAAAACCATGTCTGCACTTGTGATCAGAGAAATGACAAACAACAAGTGCTAACGTTAATCCACACTGCCCAAAACTCACGTTTGAATCATCAGTGGCAAATGATAAAAGAAAACGTACTTACGTGAGTCAGAACTGCCAGCATTTTAGTCTAACGTAACTCTCCCAGGATCAGTAAACAGTCCTCCATAAAATGTGCTGGCGATCCACAGCACTAAGTTGAAGTATTCCCTCAGCGACCAGCACAGATCAGCTCTAGGCATAACGAAGCGGATATCGTCCTCTTTTGAAAGACCAAACAAAGTAGTTTCGCTTTCACAACGAAAAACACAGCGGCCTAGCGTGAGCGAAAGCCCCGGCTTAGCCTGAGCTGAAGCCGGGCAAGAGTGAGCTGAGGCGGCGGGGTCGAGAACGGCGGTCCCGGCGAAGGAGCGGTGAAAACGGTGAGGGCCGATCCGGCGATCCACAGCACTAAGTTGAAGTATTCCCTCAGCGACCAGCACAGATCAGCTCTAGGCATGACGAAGCGGATATCGTCCTCTTTTGGAAGACCAAACAAAGTAGCTTCGCTTTCACAACGAAGCACACAGCGTCTTCAGGACATGGCGGCAGCGGCAACAATACTACAACGAGAATAAAAGTTACGCCTTCTTTCTTTGCGTGAACATTTGGGCGGCGTTATGCAAATCTTCCCACATAGTGACGTAGATATGTGGGGGCGTGTTCGAACGAGCCGTTTTAGGGGGGTGTGGCTGACTCTTAACTTTTATAAAGAATATCTCTTTGGATTTGAGACTTTAGTCTTTGCAACTTTACAGATCTTCTTTATGCACCAAGAGCTTGTAACACTCCAAAGAGAAAGGAAAAAATAAAATCGCATCATATGACCCCTTTAAAAAAAAATTATAACACTGATTCTATAATTTCAGGTGCAAGTTTAACAAGGAAAATTCAGAACATTTTACACCTGGAAGAGGCTGTGCTCAGCACAAAATCAGCTGGGATTCACATTTCTGACAACAAAGAAATGACCAAACCACTGAGAAGTAAAATTGCATCAAAGTTCCCTTAAGCAAAAGTGAAACCAAAAACAGTAGTTATTCAGTGGAGAGGCTGTTTTTTGATCATTAACTACATTTTTACATTTTACTTTGATGCAGAAAATATTTCAACATATAAAACCCTTCAAAAGCAGCTATTTTGTCATATTTTTACTGAGGATTTTTGTCAATTAATTGTTTTTATCATTATTCAGACATTAGCATAAGCTTATGCCACATTATATCATGTTGTTACATATCTAAAAAAAAACAAAAAAAAAACTTTTGTACACATGCATTATATCTTGACCATTTGGCATATTTAGCATAAGAAAATGATTGTCATAGTAGAATGTGCAATTCCTGGTATTTAAAGATATTTACTAAATCAAGGGTAATTTCATTTTGAACCATCATATACCTCTTGATATGCATCAAGGATAAATTTATTTTATACTCTAAATACGATGTACATTTTACCAAAGCTGTAATGAGCAAATCACAATCATGAGAGATTTAGACAGTATTCAGTCAGATGTAGTCAATGACTGAAAATGACAGATTGTTTAATTTGTTTTTACAAAGAAGTCAAAATCTTATCAAACTCATGATTTATTTTTGTTGCCATGTCATTGTTATGAATATTTTTATTTGTAATTTACAATTTTAATTTATAGAAACACCCAATCTTAGAAAATATTTGTGGCTATATTTTTGGCATGAAAATTGAAGCATGCAATCTAATGTTGCAACTACTGACTTTTCCCCATATAAGTTTTTTATTTTTTCCCCAGAGAAGCACTTAACATATATAAATGTTCTATGAGTATCAAATGAGTATCAAACCACTCTGTACTGCATATGATCATTACACAGTTGAGCATTTTTAATATTATACAACCTGCCTTGCCTGTATTACGGAGGTTTGCGTCTGGCCTGATACAATAAGCCATGACATGATTGAAAACACATTTTTTACTTATTCTAATATATTGCCAAGAAGTATCCGAAACCACATGTACAGACTGTTTGATTATACAGACTATGCATCTTTGAAGAAATTGCAATATTAACAATCAACTAAATACAAGTGTATTGTTGTTCCTGGATTTTGCGACATTTGAAAATGTATGGTTTAATACAAATGATAATTTTAAGTTTTATTTAAATAAAAGAAACATTACCAATTTTGGACTTGTAATTTATGAAAAGTTGATATACAGCAAGCTAGTACAGTTTTTATTTTATTTTGGCGAATGGATGAAAGACAGCCTCATAATATGCTGTTTTTTTCTTCTACTTGCAATGTAGAATTACTTAACGAGGCAACTCAGAAGTGTTTCTGATTGGAAATATTAAGTTTTGGCATTTTATTCGTTTCAAACTAATTCACAAATGACCTTTCAATAGATAAAAAGACATGAAAATGCAGTGGGCCTTAAAAAAATACTTATCTCTTAGTTCATAACAACACAAACATACAAATAGTTAAATACTGGCAATAAGCTAATACTGCTTTAGCATGACATTTCAAGAAGGAATGGTTACTTCAGGGAATAGTTGTCTCCAAGTCCTTCTTTTGATTTTCCCCCAGTGAATTTTCTGCCAATGGTACAGTGTCGCGCTCAGTCAAACACTGATGTTTGGGAACCTCAGAAGGACTTGCAAAAGGTGCTGCACACATGCTACATTTATAAGGTCTTTCAGAAGACTGAAAGAGAGCTTCCACTTGACTGTTGTCTTCTCCACCACACAAAACCAAACTCTGTTTGTTGACCATAATGTGCGAGTCTGTGTCCTGACTCAGACAAACGTGTCGAGCAGCTTGATTGGCTCTGCAGAAGTTCTTTCCGCAAGCACTGCACTTATATGGCTTTCCAGTGTGAATGTACATGTGCTCACGCCAGTGACTTTTCTGAATAAACTTGCGAGCACAGGTCGGACACTCAAATTTTCTGCGTTTCATTTCACGACCCATCTCGGTGCCCTCCAGGTTGTCTATATCAGCCATTTCAGAGGGCGGCGGGGTGTCTTCCATCCATGCCTGTTGATCGGTATCACTAATAACATCACTGTCAGCACGCAAATGGTCCTCTTCCATATCCTGAACTTCAAGCTCAATAGTGTGACCATTTTGCATAGACAACATCTGCGGCTCAGTTGCTTGGTTGGTGTGGACAAGGAGATGTTCCTTCAACTTGCACCTCTGGTTAAAATGGATTCCACAATAATTACAGGTGTAATGCTTTCTGGAGGAAGCACTCTTACTCATTATGCCATATGTGAGGTGTCGGACCATTGTGGCTGCAGGATTCTGGGTGGGTGACTCTATGCCGACAGGTTGTGGAGATCTGTAATCCATATCAGAAATTTCCAAAAATTTGCGGTTAACGTTTTCAGAGTTTTTAGCATAAATGCCATCCTTGCATGCTGTATTTCTTTCAGGCCGGCTGTATGCCTGATCAGGTATCTGTATTCCATAAAGCAAGTTTGTCAAAGGTACACACTGGGACTCAGGGTTTATAAGAAGACTTGCCTCCTGTAATAAAGGGTAGGCATGCAGGAATTTTACACCTTGCTCAAGGCGAAGAGGGTCAATGGGCTGTGTGGTGAATTTTCCAGTGTACATTAAGTTTAGCAGGTAGCTGAAGATATCTGCTTGTATGTCTGAAGGCCTCAGTCGAGATAGATAGATAGATAGATAGATAGATAGATAGATAGATGATGGATAGATAGATGGATAGATAGATAGATAGATAGATAGATAGATATTATCAGATAATAGATAGATAGATAGATAGATAGATATTATCAGATAATAGATAGACAGATAGACAGACAGACAGACAGATAGATAGATAGATAGATAGATAGATATGATTGTTCACTGCAGTCTCGTACCTTCCTGGCTTTGTTCTTCTTCTCGTACGTGTCTGACAGCGGTTTCTTCTTGGTCTGGACGGTGGCTTTGGAGAACAGATCCTCAAACTCTTGTGTGTTTATGATATCAGGCTCTTCCAGTGAACTCCAGAGCGTGTTATTACTGTAAAACACACACACACACACACAGATATCGGTATCAGACAAACACTCGGCTCAGCTGGTCAGCTTTAGTTTGAGGCTCATTTCATGTCTAGAGTTTATTTATGCGTTTAAAGACTCAAGCTGGAGACTGATGGGAAGTATTTGGCTGATTCAGACTGCAGTATGGCGTCCGTGGATGAGAATTATTGGGTTTCTGCCATTGCTGAGAGACACGAGCAACACAAACAGGCCGATGGTGTACGAGGGAGTCTTTAACGACACTCCCGCCTGCCTTCACTATCGCAGTTTCCACTGCTTTATCCCGAGGAAAGAAACTCATTTCAGACAATACAGATGATCCGTATCCCAGCAGCTTCGCTTTGTACTGAAGGATCACAGAGTTCAGGAAGGTCATTAAGGTCACCTGGTCATTGAAATCACCCTAACCCATGTAGTAACCTTATATTACACATTACTTTCTCAGGTAATACACTGTAAGTACACATAAGTGCACATACTGCAAAATAAAGTGTAACCCTAATGTTTCAGCTCAGATGTTTCTCCTAAAATAGACGCAAAAGAGTCACTAATTGTGATTTTGAGCCATAAAATGAACGTGGAGCAGCTCGGATCATATTAAAAACTCAAACCTGAACACAGATTGAGACGCTCTTGAGACAAATGTGAGATCACTGGGGTCTTTTGTCATATTTACCGCTAAAATACTCTTTAAGACACTTTACCCTAGTGTGCAGTTTATATCAGAGTTATTACAGATAACTAAAACTAAATCTGAACAATATATTAAAAAAAATTTAATAAAATAAATGTTGAATGAAATAATGAAATAAAATATAAAAAATTATTTCATTATTTAATTTCTTATTTTAATTTAAATAAACTTAATGTACTAAAATAACTAAAACTAAATATGAAATAAAAATTAATAAAATTAAACATTAAAAAAATAATAGTATCTCAATTATACTAAAATAACACTGGTTAATATCAGCTCAGAGCAGAGTTATTATTGTTAACAAAAACTATAATAAAAAAAATCGTTACTTGAAACAAAATAAACATTATCTAAAAAATAATAACTAATAAAACAAAATGTAAAAAAATAAACATTTTATTTCAGTGTTTTTGCTTAAAACAAGAGCAAATATCTGCCAATGGAGTCAGTTTGAATTAAGTTGATCTTTCTGATATTTGTTCATGCTTTAAGCTTAAAATCACTTCATTTTGATCAATTTCTCAGAAAATAAATCATCATATCTTATATCATTTTTCTTGTTTCCTAATTTAAGAATATTTAGATATTTGTACTGGAAAGCAAATCAAAAATACTGAGTAAGAAAATCACGTTTTGAAAGTGTGGACATCAGTGTTATTTTACTATCACTGATATACGATTATAGATTTATCAATATTTTGGATTGTTTTTATTTTCATCTTTTCTGTTTTAATTTTAATTTTAGTTAAAGTTTTGTTGTAAACTATTTTGTTGTGTGTTTTTGTAATTTTTTTATGTCTATATAGTTTTTATTTATTTTATCAGTTTTAGTTTTGGTTATTTTAGTAAATCATGTTAACTAAAACTAAATTAAAATGAGAAATGCTGCTTTGGGAACTAGCTGAAATATTTTGAAATATTGTTTTATTACAATATCTATCTGTCATATTACGGATTTTGAGTCACGGACCGGATCATTTTTCGGATCAGCTAAAAAATAAAATAAATTAATACATTTGTGAAAGCTTACTTTAGGTACTTCTATACCACAGCACAAAATACTAGCTTAACTAATAAAGCTAGTAATAAAACAAGAACAATTACACAAATTACAAGCATTGATGAATACAACATAACACAGTTACAAATAAAGTCAGTAACAGTAGTATTCAGGTGCAGAAATGTAATAACTAAGTGTAAAATAACATAATAGTGCTCACTGCACAAGTTAAATACAGATTAATATTTGTTAGAGCTGTGGTGTTATTTGATTAGCAGAAGCAGGTATTTATTGGCTGCTGTCTCTTTAAGACCAAATGCACGGACATAATACTGACACACATCCGGTTTCTTTCTCAGCTGTTTACATTCACTTAAGACATAACCGACTGTTTTTACTAGAATAATTGCCAAAACGGGTATTGTATCATAACTTTGTGTTTATGTGAAAGAGGAATCAATTCGGTGTTCACGCGGTGTCTCTCTCTACGTGTGCGCACTTCTCGTGTGGCGGCAGCGGCTGAGCGCATAGAAAACAGCGCGCGAGTTTAAATTGCTTGAATGTGTAAATGATAAACTTTCACTCTATGATGGTTAAACTTAACAGCACATACGTGCCTGGTTCGTACGGATCACGGATCATCTACGATCCGTTGCACCCCTATTATTCAGACTTACTTCTTGTCCTGAATCTGGATGCGGTTCCAGTAGAGCGGTTTCATGGGGCAGGCCGGTTCGACAGCCGGTTTACGCGGCGCTTTCTCAGTCGCCTGTCCGAATACAAACCCGCCAAAAACAGGAGGCGGAGGAGGAGTTTATATTTTTATAAAAACTAATTCAAAATATTAATAAATAATTAAGACACATAAAAAGAACTACATTTAATAAAAATCACAAACAACAAAATTACTACGATTTTGACTAAAATTAAAATGAAAACAGAAAATATAAAAATAAAAATGATTTCAAATTTTTTATAAAAACTTTAAGACATTAAAAAAATAAATAAAAATTAATAAAATAAACAGCAACAACAACAAAAACCCTGAAACTTAAAATTAACTTAACTAACCTAATAAAAAATTAATACTGAATATATAAAACTAAAAACTAATTCAAAATATTAATAAAAAATATAAAGGCATATTTAAAAAAAATCAGAACTAATAAAAACAATAAAATTACTTAAACTTTGACTAAAATTAAAACAAAAATTGAAATGATCAAAACAAAATTTTAATAAAAACTATAATTGATTATTAATGATACTAAAATAACACTGCAATGCATAGAATGCAAAACATTGTTTTTTTCCTCTATATTTTTGTCTTGTTTTCCAACACAAACGTCAAACATTTTTAAATCAAGATACATTTACTTCAGATGCAAAGTGACAGAAGATAAGTGTTGTGTATGAACATTGATGATAGAGTTTTTTGCTGAAAACAAGAACAAATATCTGCTAATGGGGTCAGAAAAATTAACATTTTAACTTTCAATTCAGTCTAAATAAGTTCAGTTAAGATTTCTGAGCCCGTTGGCAGACATTTGTTCTTGTTTTAATCATAAACTCGCTTAGAAAACAAACGTCATATTTTGTGTTGTGTAAAATCTATATATATCTTTACGATTACATCCTGTGGAGGATAAACGCTCTTCTCAGAATGAAATGCAGAGCTTGTGCTCATATGTGACCCTGGAGCACAAAACCAGTCATAAGGGTCAGTTTTGTGAAATTGAGATGTATAGATCATCTGAAAGCTGAATAAGTAAGCTTTCCATTGATGTATGGTTTGTTATGATAGGACAATATTTGGACGAGATACAACTATTTGAAAATCTGGAATCTGAGGGTGCAAAAAAATCTAAATATTGAGAAAATCATCTTTAAAGTTGTTCAAATGAAGTTCTTAGCAATGCATATTACTAATCAAAAATTAAGTTTTGATATATTTACGGTAGGAAATGTACTAAATACCGCCGCTCTGGGATCATCAAGCTTTAAAGTAAATCTGCATTCAGTGCTAAACAGAAAACCTGAACGCTGTACGAGTTTAGAGACGAGACTCTGCTTAGCAATTACTTATTAATTATACTCCTGGTCTTACTGTAAGTTATTAATCAGTGACGTTACTCTGAAGAAAACAAATGATAAACTTTCAATAAAATGTCTACTCTGTTAATTTAGTATTATTGAAATAATGTAATAATTTTTTTTACTATTTTGAATTGATTTTTTTTTATATTTTCTGATTTCATTTTAACTTTTGTTAAAGTCTTATTTATGTAGTTTTAATAAAAAATGTTCTAGTTTGAGCTATTTTAATATATCAGATTAAATTGTATTAATATTTTTAATTGGTTTTTGTTTTTATATTTTCTGTTTTCATTTTAACTTCTGTTAAAGTTTTAATATTTTTTTTTTAAATTTATTTATATTTATTTATTTTTACATATGTCTATATGGTTACTATTAATTTTTATTTCAGTTTTAGTTTTAAACTAAGTGAAAATGAAAAATGTTGCCTTGGAAATTAGCTGAAATAAAATAAGTTTTCCGTTTTTTATATACATTTTATTTTACATTTCAGTTAAAACTTATTTTATTTCAAGTTTTTAGCTGAAATAAAATAAGTTTTAAGTTTTTTTATACATTTAATTTTATTTCACTTAAAGTTTATTTTATTTAAAGTTTTTTACGGTTTTAGCTGAAATAAAATGTTTTATTTTTTTATATTTTATTTCAGTTCAAGTTTATTTTATTTCAAGTTTTTTACGGTTTTAACTGAAATAAAATGTTTTATTTTTTTATTTTATTTTATTTCACTTAAAGTTTATTTTATTTCAAGTTTTTTATGGTTTTAGCTGAAATAAAATAAGTTGTATTTTTTTATGTTTTATTTTATTTCAGTTAAAGTTTATTTTATTTCAAGTTTTTTATGGTTTTAGCTGAAATAAAATAAGTTTTACTTTTTGTATTTAATTTTATTTCACTAAAAGTTTATTTTATTTCAGTTTTTTATGGTTTTAGCTGAAATAAAATAAGTTTTACTTTTTGTATTTAATTTTATTTCACTAAAAGTTTATTTTATTTCAGTTTTTTATGGTTTTAGCTGAAATAAAATGATTTTTTACTTTTTTATATTTTATTTTATTTCACTTAAAGTTTATTTTATTTCAAGTTTTTTACGGTTTTAGCTGAAATAAAATGTTTTATTTTTTTATATTTTATTTTATTTCAGTTAATGTTTATTTTATTTCAAGTTTTTTACGGTTTTAGCTGAAATAAAATAAGTTTTATTTTTTTATGTTTTATTTTATTTCAGTTAAAGATTATTTTATTTCAAGTTTTGTATGGTTTTAGTTATCTATAATAACCCTGGAATTCAGCTCATACTGCATCAGTAACATTGGTTTCAAAGGCTGTTTCTTTCTGCCTTGTTAAACAGAAAGTCCGTCAGATTCTGTCACAGACAGACGGAGATCTGGAGGCCGAACACACAGGGCTCGATCCGACCGTCTCTCAGGACATCTAGTGTTTTCTGTCAGTACTGCAGGATTGTTTGATGCAGCGCTCACATGCAGTTTCTCCAGCTCTTCTTTACTCTCTCTCTTCAGCTGGAGGAGAGCGGCCTGGTGCTCTGAAACACACAAAACAACATTCACAGAGAGAAAAACACAAAGCACTACCATACATGAGCTCAGCTGTGCACCAGCTTCATCTCAATGAAGAAAGAGTACAGAGCCGTGAAATGAACGTGGAGGTTAACATTCAGTTCATTAGGAAAGAGTAAAGATCGTTCAGAACCTGATGAGAAATCTCAGACACTGGGTTCTGCTCTTTACAAGAAGAGAAGTGAAAAGAGTCTGGATAAAAATGTCTGTGAAATTAATAAATGTAAATGCAAATCGAAAACAAAAGAAAAGAAAAAAAAAGAAAAGAGAAAAGAAAAGAGTCTGAACAAAAGTGTCTGCTAAATTAATACATTTAAATAGAAAAGAATCTGAATAAAAGTGTTAAATTAAATGTAAATGCAAATGAAAATGTAAATAGAAAAATGAAAAAGAGAAGAGTCTGGATAAAAGCGTCTGCAAATGAATAAATATTGAAATAAATAAGATATTTCAGAGATCTTTACTTTGAAAACTTGTGTTTAAAAGCATTGATCTTTCAATCATATTCAATGTAAAGCTCAATAAAGCTCAAAATCTTTATGCAACAGACTCTAACTAATTAAACGTAAAATCAAGTCGAATCAGTGCATGTAATATGAGGTGAGAGAGTGCATGCGTGTTTGATGAAACACACACACACTC